AGTGCTAGGCCCATCTCAGACTATATGTTTGATCTCGGGCCGTCACCCAGGGCTTCTTAATGCTGCAGCTGAGCATATAGATGGGTTCCCACCTCTAGTGCATAGATGATGCATGAGACACTTTGCCGCTAATTTCTGGCGGCGTCAGAGGAAGCAGGAGGTATGTGACAAGGTAAAGATTCTATGTTGTGTACGTACAGAGCACCAGTTCAAGGAGACAAAGAGAGAACTAGACAAGATGGTAAATGAAGCGGGAAAGGCCTGGTTAGAGGCGTAGATGGAACAGAAGGCTCAGTGGGCATTAGCATATGATGAGGGGGGTTTCAGGTATGGCATCATGACCACTAACTCCTCGGAGTCCTTCAACCGTATATTCACCGGAGTTCGATCGTTGCCTGTGTCTGGAATTGTTGAGTTCTCCTTTCATAAGTGCAACGAATATTTTGTCAAGAGGTGGGAACTTGCGCAGAGGAATATAGTTGAGTAGGGGCGTTTTGGAAAGGCCGGAGCAGAACATTTGAAGGAGGCCGAAGAATTGGCCAAGCAGCACACCACCGAGCCGTATGGACCCTGCCGCCATATCTTTAAGGGTGGCACAAGCTTGGGCGATGAACGTTATGGTGGATGAAACTACCGAGTTGATCTTGAAATGGTAGAGTGCAGTTGCAACATCCCTCAGATCATGCATGCCCCTTGCTCTCATATGATCACGGCCTACAGGGTTCACGGGTACAACTATGAGGATCTACCATATATGTCACCCTTGTATGTCCGTTCAAACACTGTTAGTATTTGGGAGATGGGCTTTGAGCCATACCATGACCCGGCATAGTGGCCACCTTATAATAGTTATGACTATGTGCTGCATCCGGATCTAATGAAGGTAGGGAAGGGTAGGAGGAAGAAGAAGCGACTCAAAGGGGACATGGACGCTATGAGAGGGTACGGCGAAGACATGTATGGAAGGGGAGACTTCAATGAGACCCGTGGCAGGAATCTTTGCTCCATTTGCAAAGACCCTGGTCACAAGGCTAGCAGACATAGAAGACGAGGGCAGCAGGTGCTTTCATATTGTGTTCGTATTGCATACCAAGTAGTTCAAATTTTGCAATACTACATAATGTTAATTTGAATATTGTTAATTTGAATACTCTAACCCTTTGTTTATCAATTTGTAACAGGATGGCCCCTCCCACGCCGCACCAGATGTACCCCCTTCTTGAGGTAGAGTACGACGATGAGGTTTCCAAGAGGCGTCTGAGGGATCCTTACACTCCTAGGACTTAGTTGATTATGTCGAACTTATGTCGAACGAATATTGTCGTCCGAAACTTGCAGACTCATGAACCAATGAAAATGTTGTCAACTTACGCACGGACTCCATTTATTTGCTTCATATTCGTTTCAACTTGCGCACGGTCGCGGCAGCACTTGTAGTTGTTTACAGCACCGATAGCAGTAGCTCCTGTTCAGTTGCAATTGAGGCTGGTCTGCTTCTGTCTGTGTCCAGGTCCTGCCGTGCCATGGGGCTTGGCGCGTCAGTGCCGCGCCGTGCGCTATGGCGCGGAAGAACCTTGACACAGACAGAACCTAGGCTTAGGGTTGGCGTGTCAATTCTGTTCATTTTAGAAATTCGTAACGCATTTGTTATTATTAAAAAACTTGGAGAGCGACAAACGCATAGGTCGGAGGGTGACAAACGAATGAGATCACTTAAGATCGACCATGGGTAATCCGAGTACATGATACATGGGTACAATACATCAATAGTTCAAATGGAAAATAAGACAACACAATGAAAGTTCTAGTACATAGCTACATTGATCATTAATAAAGCATGGAACTAATAGACGAAGTAATTCAAAAATCCTTAGTCAGAAACATACTGAGTAAGCAACTCGTCGTCCGAGTATCAATCCTCTACCACAACCCTGTTGCTGTGGCTAGGGTCACCTGCATTGCCCTGACCTGCCTTTCGCCTGTAGTAAGCGGCCTCCGCTTCATCTGCGGCCTCTACGGCCTAAGTGAAGAACGCGTCCTCAGCCTCCTCCGCCTACATGCCCACCTCTGCTAGAGCGATGAGCTCGCTCAGTCTGGCAGTGTCGTCCTCATCCTCCTCTGCCTGTAAGCCCGTCTCTGCTAGAGCGATGAGCTCGCTCAGTCTGCCAGTGTCGTCCTCATCCTCGTCCTCCTCATCAGACAATACAATCGGTGATTCAACGGTGCGACCATCTCGCTTTCTGTGCTCATCTAACTTTTTTCCTCATATAGCCACCTCTGCAACATGTTCCTCGCTGCATCTAATCCCTTCATGTATAAAATGCAATCAGTTAGCAACGCGATAATATTACATTTAAAATCAGGTAATGAAAAAAGGCTTTCTAGCACTCACTGGCACATAATGCAACAACATGCTCATTCAAGATCTGCATCTGTACTCTTGTCTCCTCCCTTGCCTTCTTCCTTGCCCTCTCCTCCTTTAACGTTATCCGTCTCTCCAATCCTCATTTGACAAGTCCAACATCGATTGGGTTACAAATACCGTGCTATCTAGCAAACTCACGCATCTTATCTTTGTGATGTTTAACGAATAGGCTGACGTAGTCAGGTCTATATTCCCTCTTTCGTGCAATTACTTCCTTCCCCTTCAGTTCATCCAAGAACTTAGCTTGACCATCATAACATTTTCACCTGCATTTCCTAGTGCACTGTTCAAACAAAAAATTATATCATATATGTCTTAGCAAAAGAACAAAATACGATTTTATATTTACCACAAAAATAATCAACCTCATCATAGTCAACCATATGGCCATAATAATGGCATATTCTAAGCTCCGAAAGGACTATACCATAGTTGGATTTAACACCACATTCGTACTTGACTATAGGTGCTTTGTAAATTAACCTTTCTTTCTTCTTTTGCTTTGCCTTTGGCGGTTCTTCCGGCCATTGATTCTTAGAACCATACAACCACTCCTTAAAAACGACACTTCGCCATTGAAAACACCTAAATAAGATGACATTAGTATATGAACACATATAGCTTAACATTTTAACACATACACTTTGCACTTACTTCATGCTTGTTTGGATACACAAACTCCAATATATTCTCAGGGTTTATCACAGCTCGATCTCCGCAATCGCACAGATGAGATTCCTCAAGTTGTCTAACTGCGGCTAAGTGCTTCTACTTAGCCGTCATTGGAGGGGGGTTAGGGGGAGGTGGAACCCACCGCTCGAAGTGCTATTGTGGATGTCGCCCTCTCCACCAATCATCGAAAAAGAGGTACCTATGGTCAAACTTGTCTGCACCGTCGATCCACTGAAAGAAAAAAACACCTCTCTTGAGCCTACACAACAAAATTTCAATAAAATATTAGTAACCAAGTAATACAAATAAAGAAAAAAAACAAACGAAAACAATTACTTATATTAAAACGACTGCATGCGTACAAGCAACGAGCCGCTGTGTCTGGATGTCTTGATTGAAACACGTCGGCCGGACGACCACAGTCACAGTCAGAGACAGGGAGGTCAGGAAGGACGGGGGCATCTTTGCTAGACTCGTCGGGGTATAATTCTCTAGGACGACTCTGTTTTCGCCACAACTACTTCCAAAACATGTCTTTCATCTAATAAAACGGTTCAAATTAAACATCAATTAAAACAACGTAAATTAATGTAAAATATAATCATTTGCATTGCAACTCAAATAATATAACTAACACTTATAGCAACAAAAATATACATGGTAAACATACTTCTAACTAAATAATTAACCTTAACATTGACAAAATCAAATTAATATCTTCATCCAAACCATAGCCCATAGTTCCCAAACATAATTTTTCTCCTAACCTTAACTCCCATTCATAATATTCCAATCCACCGTTCAAATGAAAATAAAAAGTGCGTCATTACTTGAACAAGGCCGAGGAGGGAGGGAGGGAGGCGTCAATGGAGGGCCGGGTGCCGACAGTACTTGGGAGTGGTGGGAGGGCGCAGCGTGGCGGGCAGGCAGGTGGACGCGACGGGCAGACAGAGCGAAGGCTCGGCGGGCAAGCGGCGGGCGCGGCAGGTAGGCGGGACTGGGCCGCGCGCTATTTAGCCGGCTCTGCCGCGCCACCGATCAGGACGCGTCAGTGCCGCGCCAAGATCGGTGGCGCGGCACCGGTCAGCGCCCCCGGTCTTCGCCACGTCATCCTCCCACCGTGCCACCATGCATGGCGCGGCACAGGCGTTTCGCCACGTCATGGCAATAGGCGCGGCCAAAAATGTTAGTTTTGGAAATAAAAATCAAACAGTGTTAGATTTAAAATTAGTTTAAAAAAGTGTTAAAAATAAATAAAAAAATCTCCAAGGAGGTGTTCTGGATGAGGGACGCCCCAGACGGGGTGCTGGGCCCCCGAGGACCGCTTTGCCGACGTCGACGCGGCCGAGCTCCGCGCGCGCCTGCTCGCCAGCAAGGACTAGTGACTAGGGAGGGAGCGACGTGGCATCGCATCTAATCTATTGATTGATGAACACCTTGGTTGGACGGAGAATTCAAACTGACTCGTATCATACATTCGCTAGGATTCGACGTAGCAAGTCCGAAAACTAAACCAGTTCAAATTACTCTGTTAGGAAAAAAAACTCTGCTTTTGCTACTCTCCGAGGTTCCAGTTTTCTCTTCCAGCGAAAAAGATATTATTGGTCGCCTTCGTCAGTTCGTCTTCTTCTCCATATAAAAGAAGAAACGTGTGCTGTTTCAACTCCAAACCTGTGGGTGGCGATTAGTTGCGTTGCTTGCGCTCGAGAGGATTCAATTTGGAGGAGAATTAATCATATACGTTCTTGCGATGGAACACATGTAAGATAGGCCCAGGATTCATGGCTACAAGTTGCGAAAGGATCATGCAAAACAAGGCGCAAGCTGTTAGGACATGGGAATCTAAACTCGAGATGGCTTTGATGCCGGGGACTGCACTGCACCGATGAGCCGCCCAAGGGCTTCATCTTCCTTGGATTGGGCTTCCCAGGGGCTTCGCCGCGCGCAGCATTTCCTTGGCGCCGCCCCCATTTTCCGGCTGGACCGCCGCTGAGGACGCCCCCTTCTGATCCGAGATCGCCGACGCCAGCGCCATGGGCATGAGGCACAGGCCCTTGCTCTGCAGGTACTGCATCGCCGTCGTCATGTTGCTCTCCATCAGCTGCGCCACCTCGTGCTCGAACGCCGCGCCGTCCCGGGCCTCAGACGACGACAGGCTGCCTCCGCCTGACCGCTGCCTGCCTGAGCCTGAGCCTGACCTCGGGGACAGGAGAAGGCCACCGGAGCTCTGCATTGCCAGCCAGCAGCCCAGTCACAAGAAGCACAATGTAGTAGTGTCTCTGAGTTCATTCAGGCTCGCGTGATGTGATTTAATTTACCTCGGTCTGAGACTCTGTCAGGAGCGGGACGACGGCTTCCGTCGCGCCCAGCCTGCTCATGCTAAGAACCTTCAATCACAGGCAGGCAACATTGGTCAGTAGAAATTTACAGGATGGTAAGCCAGACGGCATGGAACAGAGGAATGGTGGTGACGGTGAGCGAACCTTCACTTGCAACTGGAGAAATTTGACGTATTCGATGATCTCCTCAAGCATGGATGCCCTGTCAGTCTGCACAGCACAAATGCAGGTTTCAGAAACTGATGATTTACTACAGTCGACTGTTATTTGACAAGAAATAGTCGAAGAGCATGCAATCGAGTACAGTACCCTGTTGGAGTTTGGAACGAGCTCCTGTAAATTCTTCATCCTGTCAGAGATCTTCTCCCTTCGGAGCTGCGAGATACATAACACAGTAAGTACTCCTACTCAGTTTCTGGATGGGTCCGTTAAAATTCAGAGTTTCAGACAAAGAAGAAAACGGCAATGACCAATGGTTAGTCATTCACTCACCCTCTCTGCAATGCTGTGCGGATCAGTTGCCTGGCCACGGCGAGCTCTGACGCGCGGCTTAGGAGCTCCATTCCCAGCAGCCCCATTGCCATTTGCCACCTCTGGTCGAGTCATGAACGGCGGCGCGTTCAGTCCAATTTTGCCACTGCTGACTTCGCTAGACTGTACATGTGGAGGAGCAGAGCAGGATCGATTCTCAAACAAACTTTGGCACCAAAAGTACACGTACTAAACAGCAATCAACAGAGACGAGAACGACATAAAACCTGTTCAGGATTATGCGTCGCTCCTGTTGCATTAAACGACGAGAGCTGCTGCCCAGAGACGAGCGACGAGAGGTTCAGGTGATGCAGACCGCTGAGTTCCTGCAGGGTCGCCATCAGGTTAGGCGAACAAGCGCGTCATGGTGCACTCTCAGACTGTGCCAACATCGTCAGCTCACTGTGCAGCTTTATTTGATGCCTCTAGATGGTGGTACTATTGACCAATAAGTAGGAGTACACCATGCTTCTATTCTGTTATTACAGATGGAAGATGGGCGAGAAAAAAGACAAACAGAAGAAAGCAGGCATCTCATTCTGACCTTTTGACCGAGCTGCAGATCGCCAAAGTTTGTACTAGTGTTCAGTTGCTGTCCAAGTCCCTGAGTGAAAGAGAGCATCTTTCCAGTGTTGAACTCGACATCATCCTGCAAGCATAATCAAACATGCGAAATCACGAGCATATTCATGCGAGAACATAATCAAGCGGAAAATTTCGAGGTCACTTACATGTATCTGCAGTGGTGCAGAGGGCACATTGCCTAGCTGTGGATACGTCTTCCCATCACGCAGGAGATCGTTGTTGCTAACTGCACTGAAACCGAAGCTCTGCGAGGTTTCTTCCCCAACCAACGACGAAATCTGCGGGAACGTGGAAGGCGGCCACGCGGGCTGCTCTCCCAGGAGGAACCGCGGCAGGCCGGACTGCTCGCTCCCGCTGCTGTCGTTGGAGCTGCACACCACAGGGGCGCTGTCGGCGAGCGATATCGCGCAGGGCGTGCTCAGAACCGAGTCCGATTCAAAGTTGAGGCCCTGGGCCACGTCGTCCGGCACGTGCGCGCTCAGGAACTGCTCGTGCAGCTCCACGGGCGACACGATCTCCTTCCCGCTGACGTTCAAGAGCGCTGTGGAGGAGCCGGTCTGGAGGTGAAACTGATCAGGTGCAGCAGCTGCAGCTCCCAGGTACGTCCCTGCAGCGTCGGCGAGGGAAGAAGCGCTGCCTGGCCAGGATGAGCCGATGAACATGGTGTCCTGTGGCCATGCCGGTTCCGGGACGAAGGGATCCACGAAACCACCCATCTTGCTTTCTTGTGGGATGCCTGAAAAAATTATGGTCGTGGAACAGAGTTTGAAGGTTCAGAAATTCAGATGGAACAGAGGTTTGAGATAACAGAGGCCGGCCCTTGTCAGTGAGGAGAGGAAGGCAGAAGGGCAACCAAGCAGGTAGCAGCCACCTCTACAACGGATAAAACAGGGCTGACTATGTTTCAACTTCAAACTCGAGATCCAGAAAGATGATGCAATAAGAAAAGCACACAGATGTTCTACAGAACATGTGGCCTGATATGGTCAACCAGCACATCGGGACTAGAGAAAAGCTGAAAACGGCTGTTTTTCACTAGTTATTTTATCCGATTGACAACTGCATTTAGAAATGGATGGTCTCCTTTGCCCTCCCTGAGAAGAATCTCTGAGATCCCCACTATTAATCTTTGTAATAACTCAAACCGTTTGCATTTGAACAAACTAGTGCATAAAGAAAATGACGGAATTCAGGAGTCGTTACAAGACAAGAAGCCAGACCTTGTGCCACTAGTTTCTTTTTTTCCCACAAGACTGCCCCCAAATTTCTCAATTTTTGTATATTCAGAGCCAAATATCGGATGGCTTCGAATATACTAGAAACTATCACTGGGAGTGGGAGAGCACGACTCTATCCCATCAAAGTGACACCTTATTTTTATGATGAAAAACATTGTAATTAAGATCTATCCGAGGTTCCGGCACTATTACGAAGAACAACAACACAGTGATGACTGATGAAGCATTTTCACCCAAAGCACCGATCCTGCCCAAAAAACATCCACGCGAGAGGAAACGACGGAATCACACACGCTGGCTCAATCAGTGCAAAGAGAAACAGAGTCGAGAAAGCAGGGCACCACCCACACCCAGCTGCCGCGCGCGCACAAGCAAAACATCTCCGCATCGCCTCTCGAAGCAACTCGATCCACCGCACAGAATACACAGCACGATTCGGAAAGAAACCGGCGGCGGCGGCGGCGGCAGTCGCCCAACCTGCTGAGCGCTGACGGAACTGATGGCCGGCCGGAGAGAAAGAAGAGAGGGCGAGATCAAAGAGCGGGGAGAGGAGGAGGAGGGCGCTCACCAGTTGACGGAGATGAGGGGTAACCGCTTCAGCTCCCGGTCCTCCGCTTTCGGCTGCTGGGGATCGGAAGACGGGGAGGAGGTGCGGTTTGTTTCTTGTGCCTGCGTGTGTGTATCTTTGTGTGCGTCAGTAGTACGTGCCTTCACTTTGCGTGACAAGTGTGGGCAGCACAAGCGGGCGGCAGGTGGTGGTTATATACTCGCCGTCTCGCCCCCGCCCAGGATGTTCCCAGCTTGTTTTCTTTTCTGAAAATACAATACCTGACGATGGGGCCATGATGAGCTGCGCACTAACGGCTACTGCTCAATCACGTTTAGGCCCAGTTCAGTTGCTAAATTTTTGGCAAAACGCTACTGTAGCGTTTTCGTTGTTATTTGATAATTAGTGTCCAATCATAGTCTAATTAGGCTTAAAAGATTCGTCTCGTGGATTTCGTCTAAACTGTGTAATTAGTTTTATTTTTTATTTATATTTAATGCTTCATGCATGCGTCCAAAGATTAGATGTGACGGGGAATTTTGAAAAATTTGGCGTTTTGGAGGGAAACTAAACAGGCCCTTAGTTTCTAACAAAATTCGCTCATGCAAAGTAATGTTCATGGAGTATCTACCTTGTGTCCCGCTTGTTCTCGACCGACGATCACCAAGTGCTTACGCGCCGCCTAGAGCCCTAGACAGTGTTGACCAAAGCAAGACGAAGATTAGACTAAGTCAAGGCGTGGGCGCAGAGTAACTATCTCATTAGGGGGTGTGTGTGGGATTAACCCTTTCTCTTATTCTTTCTTTTTTATTAGTTGCATCATTAGCTAAGCTTCATGTCTAAGGCCTCCTCGTGTTTTAGTTGGGTCCACTTCTGTTGCCTCCATCTCCCTTTGACCATTCTACTTTGCGGTTCCAGCTCTTAATGCAACCAAATTGTTGTTCTTCGTCCCACTTCGGGCTAGTTTGGAAGCTCAAATCCCCCGGGTGAGCAATCTATGGAGATGTTATTGAATAAGACATTAGTTCTTCATGGGAGGTTTTCCTCTCTGGGTTTGGCTCCCCTTTGCTCCCATTCCCAACTCTCTTTTTCTAGTCTCACCAGCCCTTGTTCACACCTGGCAGCTCAAAAGCATAATAATAAATACTAACCTCACTCGACCATTGCTACTTTTCATCTGTCGGTCCTTTGGATTCTTCTAGGATTTTACACCTTAAGGGCAACAGATGTGTCCGTATCCTCCATACAAAATGGAGGAAGGCTGACAAGTGGCTTTCCGTGATTCCGTCTATACATTTTCTCTTGTTGTATCAAAAGAAGCACTATCCATTATCCATTGGGGGGAAAAAGGATGACAAACCAATAAAATCTGCAAAATTATGTACATGTTTTTTAAAAAATATAATTCTATACAACCTTTTCATGGGAGGTATAAAAATGGTTACCTAATTATGCTTTTATTAAACACTAAATGCAATAATGGCCGGTTTTAACGTTTTTGCAGGAGTGTAATTAATATAAGGTCTGAAATAACGATATTTCCGTGTGGATTTTTGTTTGGTACAAATGCTCCTTTTCCGGCCAATGGGTAAGGCACACGTCCCTTTTCCAAGAGGCTTTTTACGAAATTTTTCCTGGAGCACCGCTGTCGCTAAAAGAAGATAAGATTCTATAAACGGACGATTTGATAAGCTGGTGATTCTCTCACAGCGAGACAAGAAAAAAAAAAGTACAGAATCATAGAGGACACTAGGACAGGAAGAGAAAGGGAGATAGGAGTAACGTGTACTCTCACAGTCACAAGGGCGGAAAGGCATGCAGTGACTCATCCAGTGACAGCAATCAGCGCCACAGACCATTCGTCTGGTTTTCGCTGGGCTTATAAGCCGTAATTTTTTAGTTAATAAATAATATTTTTTACAATAAATTAGCCAATAATATTTTTAGTCTGGGCTTATCAGCGGAACAGAGCAAGTGTCTGCCTGGAATCAGATTATATTATACTGTATTAATTCGGCCTTTTATGGATAATCTCATTTACTTTTTTGGCGGATGGGCGCATGCGTCATCTCTTTTCGTACGCTCTAGCACACGCGCAGCTTCCCTTTCCTGCTGCTGCTGATGTCACCTTACAAAACATAAAACGTTTATTTTAAAATACTATAATTTCTGAACGGTGTATTAGTTTTTAATTCCGTCTATACCGATGTGTTCTACGCGACGAGACGAACAAAACTAGACTCCACTTACATATGTTTTGAAGAAAAAAAAATTAGTAATAATTTATGTGTACTAACTTATAACCTATAACTTATACGAAAAATTTAGAAACTCAAAAGTTATGAAACACAACTTATTTACAAAAAGTTATGAAACACGAAAGAACAAATTAACTTATAACTTGTGACAAAACTTGCTAACACAAAAAAGAACAAATTAACTTATAACTTATACCAAAATTTAGATTTTTTTTTATGAAACACAACTTATGTACAAAGGTTATGTGTGCAAAAGTTACCAAACATAACTTGTGTACAAAAGTTATCAAACACAACTTATGTACATATGTTATTCGATATAATTTTTGTACATAAGTTATTCAATACAATTTGTGTACATAAGTTGTAAAGCATCTCCAAGAGTATCTAAAATACTCTCCCAATCCATGATTTTTAGCAGGATAGAAAAAAAACTCATCTCCTAATCTTTTAGCACTTGGAAAAAAAAACCTCTCTTGCGCGTAAAGATGCGCGGACTGAAAGTTGTGCGTATCCCCTCGGCCGATCTAAACTCACGTATAGTGTGGTCAATCTAAAGGCGGAAGAGCGGAGGAGAGAATAAAAAGTAAAGGGTTCCTGATGCAAATGTATAAGAGACAAACAATTTATAAAAGTGGTTAGGATAATTTAGAAATAGTATAGGATTCCTGATATAAAATTGTATTCTTATTTTAGGAGTGAATTATTAGAATCTGTTGAGATGATTCCTCCTAATATCTTTATAGGAGTTGAAAAATAACATGTTTTTGAAAAGAAAAAATAGGATACTCTTGATATGCTTATAAGTTAATATCCATAAATTGTTATTATGAAGAATAAATCGAAACATATGCAAGTGGGGTCTAGTTTTATTCGCTTCGTCGCGTAGAACACACCAGTACAGATAGAATTGAAAATGGATACTTTGTTTAGAAGTTATAGTATTTTAAAATAAATGGCTTTGTATTTTTTAGGCAGTGACGTCAGCCATGGAAAAGCGAGTGGGGAGGGAGCTGCTGTCTGATCGTTCGCCGGTTCTAAATCGAATGAACGCCCGCTCAAATGTATTAATTAGACAAAGTTCCTGTCCAGGAGCAATGGAATTAGCCGAAAGCTGCTCTTCTTCATTTTTTCTCTCGCCTAGGAAGGCCGTAGATTCGAGCTAGATTAAGGATGCGATAATAAGCAATAAACTAATAGAGGGAATAAGTTATATAGCACTATCAGCAGTAATTTAATTTTAATTAGGTTTAAAAAGGGGCTTTGCAGCAGGAGCGTGATGCAGGGATGGATAGCTGCAGGCGTCCTGATCCCGAGAATGAATTATTCCGTGTGGCCAGAGCAGTCTCTTCTCGGGATCGACGAAGAAGAAATGAGTGGATCCATTGCAACGGTTCGGGCGAGTCGTTGTCGCCGGCGGTGGGCTTTGCATGGCCGCACAGCACGCGCGGTGCGAAAGAAAAAAAAAAGAAAAAGAAAAACAAAAGGCGTGACACGATGGCGAGTCCATAGTGATCGCCGGCCGGTTTGCGTTTGCAAGGCGATGACCCAACTGCCCCTAGCTAGCTAGCAACCGTTGGTACGTTTGCCCCGGGGTCAATGATGGGCCTTCGAATTCGGACTGCGCCCAACGGCCGGTTTATGCGGAGCGAACTCCGATCCCTGTTGCGTTT